CGTGCTGGAAATAAAAATATTTTATTCGTACAGTGTTGCCAATGGTCGTTGCGAAATTGTTGAGATTTTTAATCAAAACTGCGTTAAAGTTTTACAAAATATGAAATAGAAAATAAAACAAACTTGAAATTCAAAATGCGGGCTTCCAGGTGCCCATATGCGGATGGAGGACTATGCTATTCAAAATTTTCAAAATTTGATGATTCTAGACTTCATAATAAATACATCGGCTGGAACTTTAATGGTAGGAATATTGCGGTGTGTACTTTCTAAAATGAAACGTACTTCTCGCATATACCACGCATTATTTCGATACATAATCTCCCTCATCCCACCAATGGCTGAGACCACTGAATGTTGATAGTTCATCTTCGGTTCGAACCAGGCGAACGGGTTAGCTGCTTTTCAAGGTTTTCCCCGCGTGTAAAACGTTCATAGGAGCCAGTTTCTCTTAAAGAAATGTACTTCAGAAAAGCATCCGTTTCCCTACGGGGATAGCCCTCGTAAGCTGTGCCCTATTCCAATAACCTGGTTGCCTAATCTATCTCACAATTAATGAACTCCGTCTTCCAGTGCTAGGCGCTAGGCGTATATGTTTCAAAGAGGATAGTACAGTCTGATGTAAATTGTCGATCTTAAGTTGGATTACCTTGATATTTTTTAAATAGGAACAGTGGAGTTTTGGGAAATACGAGAAAGCTAGTGAAATGATAAGAATGCTGGTCAAAAACACTTCGAACAGCGTTTCTCAATCTTTTTCAAAAAGGGAGCACTTTCATAAATTTGAATATTTTGCGTATCAGCTTACTCTTGTTGATTTGGAAAGTCATTTTTTAGCTTATGGTACTACCACTAGATTTCTATTTAAGAACTACAGTTCATTAATCATTAATTTGATTTAATATTATTATTGATTTAGTTCAATTAATAGATGAAAGCTTATATTTGTTTTTAATAAGTCGGGATAACTTTTTTTTATTAACTGAAAATTAAATGACTACTCATATTCACATTAATCAGATGGATAAGCTTGCCAGTTCTTGCATAGCTGTTCTGTGCTTTGATTTATGCCGATAAGAAGCACCACAGTCATAATGCTTTAAATCCCTCTTTTGTTGCTATGGTTAGAGTGGGAAATCAGTAAATTAAATAAAGGTAATAAAACACATTTTATAAAATGTCATTTTTGGAAGAATTAATGATAGGCGGTTGCCATGTGTAATTTCCAAATTGAGATTTTTAGCAAAGTCCTCTAATTAATTTGAATTTTTATTTTTTGCCCCTTTTTTGGAACTCTAGGAGGACCAAAATAGCAGGGTTAGAGGACCACAGTTTGAAAAACGTTGACTTGAACCACTGCAGCTCGACGGAGAAGATTTTTTGCTTTGGACTTTGCACTAAGGCTGTGTGATGACGAACAGATGATGCAATCAATCAATGTTAATGTGACCTCATGAACTTAACGACCGTCGTACATTTTTGCAGATGTATCGATGAAAATACTAAAAAAAATAATCTAAATATTTCAGATTAGAGTTTAACACCTCAAAAATGTTTATATCATTATAAATTTAAAGAAATGGAAAACTTTATAAAAAATTTAAATGTAAATCATCAAAAACTGTTTTTTTTAAAAAAATTATTCAGTACCAGTTGCGTAATATATGGCGTTAAATATTCATAAAATATCTTAGTTGTATATTTCAGAGCCAGCGTCTTAATAGGGAGGTTGCACCTTGGGGCAGAATTAAAGGGCGGCAAAATTTTTAGAATATAGAAGCAACGAACAAAAAATTTAGGAATGGCAAAAGTTCTTAGAATTTATGGAAAGCACTGGGCAGCAGAATTTAGAACCCGTAAAGATTACTCCGGGAGGAGATTATTAAGAAATATCACTATATAAGGAATTACTAATAAGGAATATATTACTAAGAAATATCACTATCTATTACTATATAAGGTATTTCTCCCATCTTCTTAGCGTGCCTTCATGGTGTAGTGGTCTGCACGCTGGGCGCGTATTCCAGAGTTCCGTGGCTCGATTTCCGGCGAAGGCGTTGCTTATTTTTCATCTCTCCTGCTTCCAATTACACCCACGATTTGGCGATTGGGTCCCCTAAAAACCCCAACCGCCCTTTAAAAGTGGGAGTATATAAGGTATTTCTCCCGCCTTCTTGGCATACCTTCGTGGTGTGGTAGTCTGCACGCTGGGCGCGTATTCCAGAGGTTCATGTTTCGATACCCGACGAAGGCGTTGTTCATTTTTCATCTCTCCGGCCTGGGAATGGTGTCTTCCTGTTTTCGCGGTTGTCAAAACTGTTCCTGTTTCCGCGAAATCATCAATCTTCATTCCCTTGTTTCCAAAGGGGTTACATAATGAGGGACCGAGCGGACCTTAGCCTCTCCCAAAATGCAGGAAAGCAAAAAATGTTTAGATTTAAAAAAAAAGAATTTTTAAAACAAATAATCGAAAAATTAAAAATTTTTAGATTTAGAAAAAAGAATTTTTAAAACAGTTAATCGAAAAATATCAGATCTTTGAATGAACCTTATAATGTATTTAAAAGGAGAGAGATGTTCAAACTCTGGGATGATTTTGGCAAAGAACTTAAAGATCGTTTCCGAAATTAAAAATCTGATGTGTACACCACATGACTTCCTTGTATTGGAATATTAAATTATACGCATTTTTTCTTTCATTTCATTTAAACTTATTGGACTGAATTAAATCTACTTCGCCGACAGCGCGTAAACCACAATAGAATAAATGCATTCTTTAAAATTCACTCTAGTATTTGTTTACCATAGCGACACTCTGGCGCTAGATTCACTTAACAGTATTAATAATTATATAACAGTTAACTTATATAGTAATTATATAACGGAAACTAAGTTAACTGTTATATAATCCAATAATTATATAACAGTTAACGTATATATTTCGTTCATATTACAACTCATAATGCACAAAATTTATATCATTTAAAGAATAGAATTATCTAATCGTTGCCACATGTTCTATTCAAATACTATAATAAAGCTAGAATGATGTATAAAAGAAATTAAGCAAACAAAACAAAAAGAAACAGTTTTTCACAGATGATTGAGTATTTCTCATTTAATTAATTCAATTCTCACTTCGCGAGAAGGCAAAAATACATAAAAACTCAAAATATCTATATTAAAAATTACGAAGTAAATCTTAAACGCTTATTTCCTCGAAAAAATTCCAGAAAGGATTAAGCATAATTTAAATAATAAATGAAGGCGTTATCTTTGTTGTTGCGAAGCTAAGTTTCTCTAGATTGGCAACAAATTCACTAGTCTCCTGTTTCAAATGTAAACATCAATGGCCGGCATTAAAAACAGGCTTAGCGGCAATTAAACAACTTTAAAATTGCTGATAATTCTAAAAATATTGCACACAGATTTACTAAAGGCATAAAATCCTTAACCGGAAGATAAAAACCATATAATTCAATTATTTTTAAAGAAAAAAATGTTACAAACATATAAGAGTAAAGAAACTGAGATCACTGAGCCGGGAGAGTGGATATATATATAAATATATTTATATACGTTTGGTGCGGCCGATTGCAACCAAAATACGAGGTGCACATCTACATGTTATAGCAGTCCTATGTACAAAATTTCAACGGTCTGAGGCTACTCGTTTTTGAGTTATGCGAGATACGTACGTACGCACGAACGTACGTACATACGTTCGTACAGACGCCACGAAAAATTCTCTTCAGAATTAATTTTAAAGCAGTTTTATAATTTTTTTGAAAGAAAAGTGTATTTTATTCTGTCCTTACGTACAGATATCACGCAAAAACATCGTTAAATTGCATTCGATAGCGGTCAAAATGGATATTTTCGTTGCAATATGCTGCCTGAAACTTCCTTTTTACTTCGTACAAGGAAGTAAAAAAATGAAAAAAAAAAAAAAAAAAAAAAAAAAAAAAAAAAAAAAAAAAAACACGGTGTTCTAAAATTTTGCATAAAGGTGAGTTATAATCAAATAATGACGTTCATTCTTCTAAAACGACTTCTGCTTTGGTTTTAATTGCGCTTTTGCAGCTTTTAATTCTTTCATTTATGCAAATCCTGTAGACTGCATTTTCGTTATTTCTATTCCGAATTCGATACGGATAACCTTTATAAAGGGCTAAAGATGTTTTTTTCCTTTTAGTTTCAATAATATCTAAAACATCCATATTGATTAATATAAGATGTGAAAATAACAGCTAATATTGTAGCAGAATTATAATTAGAATGAAATTTAAAATTTCGAGAGGAGCCTAAACTTAACGAAGACTAAACTATTCACAAAGAAACTGCCCAGCTCTTCTTAATGACTCATCGTGACATCCCCCGAGGAGCTGTGGGAAGGGGACTGTACTCTCCGATTTCGCGGGAACAGAAAGAATTTTGAAAAACGCGGAAAGAGGAATCGCGGAAACAGAGCTAATTCCCTGGAAATAACCTAATGTCTCTACAAATGATTTTTGGATTTGGTTAATCAATAGCCCATCGTTCAAATTTGAAAGATACCTTAAAGACCGTGCGCTTTGCTGAATGGCAACACTTTGAAAAATCAGATATGCGCGAGGGCACGTGGAAGAAAAGGGTCTTTTGTTTTATGTAAGGGTAACTACTGTCAAGTACTCTATCTATTTTTCTTTCCGTTCTTCTCATCGGTCAGGTTTTGCCAGGACAGCATTTTATATTATATCACACGAAAACCTGCATTCCCTTCACAGCGTAACAATAAAATAGAAGTCTAATAAAAAAAAATGTAAAATTATGATATAATATTTCACAACAAAGGGTAATGTAGAATGTCTGGCATAATAAAATCAATGTAAAACAAAGCTTTAGTATATTGTTTGTAAAAATATTGACAAATTAAATGTTTTCGAGATCATTCTAATATAATAATGTTCTTTTCATTTTTACACTTTATATTGCCCTAATAAGCTTTTCTTTCACAGGCTTCTCAGGGTATATTTATCTTCCTTCATGGTCTGACAATTTAACACAAGTGGAATGAAGTGGAACAAAAGACGCAAAGTATCCGGGGACGGAGCTCATTGGATCCCCTTTGTGGAGAAAGTTACGTGGCCTTTCATATTGCTGGCAGCATTTTTTATTGCGCATACAACTTCCACTTCCATAGGAACATGGATGTAAGTACCCCAAATACTATAAGAATTCTTTATTAACTTCGCTTAGCATATTTATTAAGTTATTCCACAAATTGTAATCTTAAAATTACATACATCTTCATATTTAAAAGATTGCAACGGGAAGCGGAAAATTTTGTTCTCAAAGAGTTTATGCTAACATAGTTTGGTTTTGCTAATATCAATTAATCAATTAACCACCACATTTAAACAGTGATTTCATAAATAACTTTGTTAAGGTTTGGAAAACGATGCTTAATTTTATAAAATACATTGCTATGGAGGTTTATAAATGTAAATAAAAAGCGATAGTTAACACTGTATTGATTTAAAATTACTTTAAATTTAATTTTAATCAGCCTTTAAAAACCAGTGCAGTTTAGAATTTTTCCTTTAATTTATACTTAAATCTGGCAGTACCCCCCCCCCACACCTGAGTTTATCTATTTCAGCATAGATTTAGAGATCATGAGATCATCTCTGAAGTTTCCTTTCCGTATACACAAATTTCCGTTTCATAAGCATTTCAGTCTCAGAATATGTGCTTTTCTAAGCATATTTTACTAGAAACGTGAAATAGTTCAAATGTCAAAGTAACAACAAAGTTTAATAAGCCAAATCTCAGAAATTTGCGTAGGCAGTAGAAGGTTGAAAACGGAATTTAAATGTATCGCTTATGTTCACAAAGTTTTGAATAGTAATCAAGTTGTAGATCAAAACAACTCACTGTGAAACGTGATAGGAATTCTAAAGTTATTTATTCATTTAAAAAAGTATTCTCCTGGAGAGTATGGGAGGCATGAGAAAGTGTTCTATTTAGCTTCATTTATTCGGAATTGAATCTCTGAGCTTTAGAACCAAGTTATCAACAACAATTTACGCATTAGGTGTAATTAAACTAATTATGGAGTAGGTTGCCTTTTGGATTTAGAATGATTAGAATTAAATAAATTTTCTAATCATCATCGTTATTATTCTTTGTATCAGTAATAATTAAAAATGTCGGTACAGCAGGAATTCTATGCTATGAGAAAATTATTTTTAATGTGTGGGGGTTTTATTTAATTTTATTAACAGTTAATTTTATTTTGGAATCGACCTTTCCTATAAACTCTTGTTTTTAACCCATGCTTTCTTGCCAGAATGAGATTTGTTTCGCGCATTATGCAAAATAAACTAGAAAGCCACTATTTAAGCCAGTGTCTGAGTTACTTCAGCCAGAGCGTGTTTTGCCTTTCGGCCACGTTGTTTCTCTGCTACTTAAGCTAGCTATTTTACGGCTTTACATATAAATTGCCGTTTAGTTTACGCTGGTGGTAGCTAAGAGCCAACAACGCGTTAAATTATCTCTCTGCAGCTTCGGCTGATTATTTACTTAGATTTAGTTTAGAACGCAAAATTAAGGTCCTGGTGACCGCCAAAAGTATTGCTCACGGGAAGTGCCATCTGTTCATATTATTCTTGAGTTGAAATAAAAGGGTCTTTTCACCTTTTTAAGTGTTGTTACTGGTACAAGTTGCACTTAGCGAATAGTCATTACACAGTTCAATTTAAGATCTAGCCTTCCAAGTAACCTTAATTTTATAAATCTTTCTCAAACATTTTTGGGTGGTATCGCATATATATATATATATATATATATATATAATTTATCAAGCAAAGCAGTAATAACAATTTTGAAAAACCAATTTTGGTCAAGAAAACATCTTGCGCAATATGCTGCAAAATAAGTAAAAAATAAAAAATTGTAGAAAGCTCGCCTAAAAGTTACCAAGAGCTGCTGCTCCAAAAGGTTTAAGACGTTCATGTGTATTAATTTTTGAAAACGTCTTAAACCTTTTGGAGCAGCAGCTCTTGGTAACTTTTAGGCGAGCTTTCTACAATTTATATATATATATATATATATATATATAAGGTATAACAAAATACGATAGCTGCTTTAAAAAACAATTAGCGATCTCAAAATTAACGTTCTAGATTCGGTGCTTCCCGCCCCCAAATTCGTCTGTTCTTCCAAATTGGAGATTTTTCTGTTATGTAACGCTACTGGAAAAGGACAAATAAAACTAATAATAACCAATCATAGCTTGTCTCTAGAATCGCACCTGCTCTGGTATAAATACCTCTGGCGAGCTAATTACGTCATCATGCTGCTAGCTTCTAACCTTGCTAATTTCTCCTCGCTTTGCTTCTGTCCTATTTAATAGAAAATAGCCGAGTGACTTCACTTTCCAGGTCGTACTTAAGTTTTTAGAAGGTGAAATTCAGTCTAGGGAAAGAACATGTTTAGTTCGAACAAAACCTGATTCACTTAAAAATTAAAACAGAAACTTTTAATAGCGAAGCTAGAAATAATTTTAGAAAATCTAATTATAATAAAAGATACGTTGATCATTTGAGGCCAACCGGAAGTTATGCTACCACTATTAAAAAGAGTTGTGTATTTTGTAATAACCCAGAGCACGAGTTTCGTAAATTTCAAACAGCAGAAGATAGAAAAAATAAATTGAAGGCTGAAAACAGGTGTTTTAAATGTTTTGCTAAAAACCATTTAAGTCGTATGTGTAGATTAAAATTTGAATATAAGTATCATAATTATTTGTTGTATAATGAAAATGATCAAAGTAAAGCTGAAAAGCAAAGTCCAGTTGAGGTTGTAGGAAAAAATGTCACCTGGAAAAAAGGGAAACGGAAAGAATGTCCCCGGAAAATAAGGAACGGAAAAAATGTCACCCTTCGTTTGCAATGGGAAATATAAGGCATGTTTAGAAAGATCGCCAAGCTGGGTGATAAAAGTTTTATCTTACCTTAAAACCTCCCTCAAGAAAGCCCGCTATAACCCTGCCTGTTAAATTAGAATTTGGCAGGTTCACCCAACTCCAATTGGCGACATTATTTGGCGAGATTTTATAGTTCCTTTTTTTCTGTTCCTTATTTTCCGAGTGACTTTTTTCCGTTACTTATTTTCCGGGGACATTCTTTCCGTTTCCCTTTTTTCCGGGTGACATTTTTTCCGCACACCTCCAGTTGATGCAAGTTCTGTTCACCATAACCTAAGAGAAGGTTCTGTATACCATAACCCACGAACCTCTTTTAATTATAAATAAATTTTAAATTAATTTATATATGCTTTTTATACATTAAGGAGACAATTTCTATGCATTTTAGGTACCAACAAATGTAAAAATTTTAAAGAATCAAGTCTCATCAGTAATTAAACAATAAAAATGGCACAAATTTCATAGATGATACTTTTTCAATTTTTATATTTTTGGTTATTGCATGTGTTTTTTACTTTCAAAAATATTAAAATTATTACAAATTGCCTATGGTTATAATTTATTTTAATTCATTGTTTTATGTATAGATATTTTATATATAAAAATAAAATGCAAAGGGCGAACGAAAATTAATCAAATTCTGTTCCCGAAAATAATGAAGGTCTATCTCCTTTCCTGTGAAAAAGTTACCAAACTAAAACGTTAAATGTTTTTTTTTTTTTTTTTTTTTTTTTTTGTTAAAAGCTGACACGAAGCATTTAAGTTTCGGTCCTGATGTTTTTATGGAAAAGAAGTGCAAAACGGGATGCCATTCTCTATATACTGAAGTTACGGAAAAAAATTAAGTTTAATCTTACGTTATAATATTATAGCTAGTCTGAGTAAACAATCTATGACATCTTAAAACCAGAGAAATATGCATCAAGGACACTGATATTTGTTAACTTAAATGAGGAGCACAAACTGAAAACTGATCAAAATTTCTTGGGGATCAAAGATAAATCAAGAAGCTATAATAATTTATGTCTTCAGTATCTGTATCTAGAATCACAGAAAATACTTCATTCATTCTGGTAAATTTCTTTTCTCAAATCGGTCTTATTCTGAACGGCGCGTCGAAAGAAATATTGCCACGAATTTTCTTTTTAGGGATATCTGACTGATTGAATGACGCGATAATTAGTTCTTTAAGTAAAAGCTACAAGGGACACAGCTTTAAACGAAACATTTTTATCTTGACTGCGAAATGTCCCACTTAACTTGCCGGGACGGTGAAGATGTGTTCTGGAGAAAGCTGATGCAAACAGAACAGAATTGATGCAAACTGAGAACTTACAAAGACCAATTGAGAACCTGCTATTTTAGAGGAATGAGACGTCGTTAGATGTGATAACACAATTAGAACATACAGGGATTCACACTAACTAAACCGGTGCAAAACCGATTTCTGTGAACTAATTTCTACCTTAAATGGAATCTCGATGAAAGAATACCTAGAGAAATAGCATGATGGCATCAATTACGACATCAACTTAATGAGAAGTGAGAGATTAAAACTGATTAAACGTTTTTGGATATCAATTTACCGAATCAAGAAGCCGATGGAATGTGTAGCTTTCGAGGACTACATTTGCAGTGTATGTTTTTAGAATCACGCAAACTCATCCATCTTGCTAAACTTCCTTCTTTAGAACATGGCGTGATACACGGTGCAAAAGCGACTTCTGTGAAATAATTTCTACCTTAAAAGGAAGCCTCAGGGAGGCGCCCATGATGCCCCTTTCCACCACGAGTCAGAAACGATTAAAACTTTTCCACCGTGGGAGTCATTTGCAAGTTTTAGAGCTCTCTCTCTCTCTCTTCGAATGGGAAAGTGGGTAACACGCTCACTAATTTCCCAGGTGTTGTCAAAAGCTGCACAAAAAAGCATCCCTTTGGCGCTTTTACTCATATTTACTCTTCCCCATTTTTTATTAGTTTCTTGAATATCTGCAGGGTAAAGTGAGACCGGTGCCATTACAGGGTTCGCGGTAACCCATGTAATGACAGGTTTTAAGTGTCGCAGTTATTAAGAGTCCACCCCTTAAACGATTCCTGATGACTCTCTTAGTGCCGTCATTTTTCATTCTTCGTTCCTGGAAGAATAAGTCCTTTTAAATAGAGTCGTGTCGGTGGCCATTGTTTTGTTGAGCGGTGAGCGTTTTTGGCTTTTGGGATGAAGAG